GTCCTAACGATCTGAGGTTTGGTTATGGCTGACTGAAAGCTCTAAATATCTCTATAGTATTTTTCAGTAGTACATCTCAGAGGGTCGGCTCGCATGCAATTAGATCATAGAATTAGTCAGTCATCCAAATGACTGGCCATTTTTATTAAGGGCTTGAAGAAAACATGGTAGTTTTAACGCATATCACTTGAGTTTTAAGTAATTATAAATCCTTCAAGCAAATTTGGCATTGATCTCGTCTTCTGGGCGTCCCTGATCTATTGAACTGCAACCCCAGATGGTTATTCTCTGGAATAAAAGATCCCAGCTGCTTCTCCTTAGACGGACCGCAGTTTTATATTTTAACATTTTTGACCTGCTTCCTGAAAATTTTATATTTAAAATTTACATCCAAGTTCATAGACAAAGAACCCTTTTAAGTAGTTCGTAAAAGAGGGTTGCCATATAGGTAGATTGTCTTAGCATCGTGCGAACTTCCTGCTGCCGTAGTTGTGGCTCGTCAGTCATATTTAGGCAAACCAAAGGTCTTAAAATTTTCTATTTTGGGGATCATATTTCCACCACCTAAGCCACACTGAGATGATATACAGAAAATCATTTTAAGACAGTTAGCGCTAAAATTTAGAAACTTCAGCGGAACTTGTGTCAGAAGCCAGCGACTCTCAACCATCTTGGGAGCCTCGAGAGACTGACGTTTGAAGACTATGCACAGACAGTCAGAAATAAGAGGCTCGAGGCCAGGGGGACAAAGCTTCTAAAAAGTGCCCAACCAATGAAGGAGCAGACCGCCATTCGGAGCAATCCAGAGCGATGTGTCCACAACTATTTTTCATTACATCTTGACAAAACTCTCGTAGAAGTAATTTCTCTCGGTCTTAAATTTTTCATTGCATGGTGGGGGCAGAAGCAACTAGAGTCCCTTTAGCCAGACTACCAATCTAAAACTCTCCTAGCCTAGAAAAGTTTACTGCCATAAATCGACTCTGATAAACTGCTGTCAACAGTATTAAGGGAAGGCTCCAAGGGGACAAGGTCCCTCGGCAAGGACTCATATAAATAGTCACAGGAATCAAAGGAAGAGGGGGCGTTCACCGGGAGGGGTTTACTTGAGGTCCGACGTTTCGAGTAGTTTATTCGTCTACCCATCTTCAGAGACTGGGAAGCCCCCTGCACAGCTCCCCTTATAATGGCGCCCTTTGTTCAATGCGTGATCCACCGATGCCGCCTGTGTGGCTGCATCCAACCCGCATGTCACCGTGACCTGAATCGGAGGTAGCAACCCATGCCGTGCAAATGGGACACATCTTCAACTTTGACGCCGTTGAGATTGTGGGCCGGGGCGGCGATCACACAGCAAGGCCGACCGCTCTGTCCACCGCCACATCAATTTGCCTCCCCCCTATCTGATTTTACGAACCTTCTTAGCGGGGGATAGTCACGGCGCGGGACAATCGGGGCCGTCAGTCATCTCCGCGGCCGACGGGGGCGATTCAGGTCACGGTGACATGCGGGTTGGATGCAGCCACACAGGCGGCATCGGTGGATCACGCATTGAACAAAAGGCGCCATTATAAGGGGAGCTGTGCAGGGGGCTTCCCAGTCTCTGAAGATGGGTAGACGAATAAACTACTCGAAACGTCGGACCTCAAGTAAACGCTTCCCGGTGAACGCCCCCTCTTCCTTTGGTATGCCACCTGGGAATCGAATTTTCACTACTATTGAAGTCACAGGAATCTTCGCGAAAATGAAAACATTGTTTACAATATTCGTCTACAACGCACACTGACAAGGATGTTATTGAACAACAGGAGAGGAGGGCGGCTTGTCCGGAGTCCCGGAACGCGTCACTGAAGATACAGGAATAGTTTTGAAAGCCGTCATATCGGTCGCATTTTAACTGCCAAGAGCACGCTCCGTCTGTATGCCACCTGCAATTAGTTGCCTTGCCACAGGGATGTTGTTCTTTTTGCTTCATATGCAACGCCGACGACAATGCCCTAACATCAATTGAGTAATGAGCTGTCGCGGAAGGTAAGTAGCTCGTTTGTCTAGCTTATCTTGGTCCCCCGAACATGCTGGCTATAGATAGTAAGGATGGACTGAATGTCACACAAGTCCCCTCTATAATGCAATCTGCGCCCTAGTAATCGGCGCCTGTCCAGATATTTGACCCTCGTCAACTTCCAAGGAACTGAAATGTTCAAGATAGGGAGGAAGGGAAGTCACTCTTCCCAAAAATGTGGCAGCAGAAATAGCTTAGGTGTTGGTACAGGCCATTTTAATCCGCCTCACGTTACTGACAGTATTTGTATTGACGATGGTGTGTGAAGCAATCCCTGATTTGGCCTATGGCCTTCGTCCTAACTGTATGGGCGTGATAAATGCACCACACATGTTGATGGATTCTCAGTTCGATTTTCAAATTTCCATCACCTAACTTGGCTTATCCTATTAGTGACCATGGCTCAACTGATTGTAAGCTTAATCCTCGGTCCTCAAACAGGAGGACGACTCAAGCAAGATGAAGGTTACATGGTGCAAGAAACCTCCACAAAATTGTCGATGTTTTTTGGCAATGGTAAACTCGGGTTCCAAATCGGATGTCGATTGGTTTCTAGCAGGAATTTAAGAAACGGTTTTTGGCTTGATCCTACGGTCCGTCCAATGGTAAACAAGAAGGGTGCCACACCTCAGTTCACCATTGAACCGAAACACACACACCAATATAAGCAGTGACAGAGTGTTTGCTTCGGCGTCTGAGACGTCTAACTACTTGTTAAAAGCGCTGTTCGTTTGTCAAAGCAATCAGTGTAGAAAACTTAAGAGATAAGTTTACTGCCCAGCACGACATTAATGCTTTAGACATCATATCGTCTATGCTCGTGCACCCCAGAATTTAACAATTGCGGGGGGAAATGCGATGACATGGAGAGTCGTTCCATATGAATGCGAATCATTCGAGTTCTGAACTTTGTCCACAACGCGTGCTTAACGCTCGACAGTGGCGACTACGAGCAGACGAGGATCACGTCAGTTGTTTCGTAGACTTTTGAAGTTATAACCGAGAAGGAGTGACGATGGTTATCGTCAGTATTTTCTCACATGACTGAACGAAGTCTTCAGCTCTTAGCATGAAGAATGGTTTCGGCATCGTTGCAGGAAATTGAGAGTTACCATTTACAAAACACCTCCTGGACTTACAGTTCGTGACCTATGTGATGAAATGTCACGAACAAACGACAAAAGTGACCAGCCAGCTGACTTTCTGCGGTGCCCTGGTCTGTCGTTAACGATGTGGTTTCTAAGAAACAGTGTTCGAGTAAGCGACAAATACGATGTAAACACTGCGGTTCAACAGCAACGATCCTATCAGCCACAAGCCCAGACGTATGAGGAGGTTTAAATGGGACGCTAAGACGCACTGCAATGAACTGACAGACAAGATTTCCGTGTTTTCAGTAGTTTCAGTAGGCATATAGAACGAATGGAAACTAGCACAACTTCGTCAACCGGCGCAATAAATATGGGAAGAGGATACTAACCACACCAGGCCCTTATTTTAGGGAGAGCTCGCATGTGCTTATGGATCCCCCTAAGGCCGTCATATGCCTTTTTCACCTAACTCGTTCTTGGTACTTTCCACGAATCAGAGGGGGACACCCGCAATGGCGCGCACCCACTCTTATTCCAAGAAATTTCCGAAGTTGTTTACTGAATGTGGTTTAACTATAGACAAATCAACTAGGCCGGAGAAACAGAAAGATTACTCTATCTCTGCAGTGAGGGCGACTGTCGCAAATCATCATGCCGTAACCTATCCCGCAATGTGGCCACAACTTCAAGTTGGACAAGACAAAAGTAACTTCGAGAGTCACAATTTGCTTAAACCATGATCTTTCAATCTGGCTGTCCGGTCATCAAGTGAAATCACCTCGTCTTCCAAGTGGATCGCTAAGACTACCTGTGCAAAGTAATCAGTCGCGCGGTGAGGTCAGGGGTTAGGGATTAAGGTTAGGGGTGGGGGTAAGGGGCTAGGGGTTAGAGGTTAGGGATTAGGGGTCAGGCCTGGGCTTGTCTACTGCAGGTACGGCTGCGAAATGAGATCCGACCCAAAGGTCGATCAACGTCAGTCAGTGTGTTCTGTAGCTGTATTGTCCTCGGGAGGCCTCCTAGCTTCATTTACTCGCTTTACTTTCAGGATTGCACAGTGGAACCCTCAGAAGGCCTAATCGAGCTCGGTCAAACGGTGAAAATTACCTTTCATGTACACGGAGGACCTGCACCCAAGTTTTTCGATATGGATTTTGTTTGCAAGGTAGGCCTCAGTAGCGGTTTTTCTCATGAGCTTTAAAACTTTTACGAAAATCCCTGGTTTAGAGCGACTAGGTGTTAGACAGTAGAAGAGAAAGCCACAGTTTTCATCTAAAGAGACTGTAGGAAAGTAATCCCAGTTACACTAACAACGCATGGTCTTCGGGTCTATTAATCTTCCAAGTTCAATAAAACTTCAAATATTTGACGACAATGGGCTTATTTTCAAAAGTGAACCATACATAGCTGATAAGTAATGTCCCACACAGTGTCCTGCCCGTTGACATGACCACAAACGCGTCATGGGCTCTATCACACAAGGTCGCATCATCATAGACTGTACTTGTAAGGTAGTTTCTGACTACCGAAATGTAAAATGTGTCACTTTGTTGCCCTTCTTTTCAGACTGTCCCCCAGCCAATTGACGATGCGGGCGTGGAAGAACGTCATTTAGAGAGGTCACGAAAGCGTAAACCAGACAAAAAACCGCTCTGTGGGAAGCAGATATGGCCCCTGGCGGAGACACAAGTGGTCACTGTTACCGCGAGGTCGCTGAGTTACGACGAGATGAAGCGTGATGAAGCATGGATAGCCCCGTAAACAATTTAAAAATGACTATTTTGTTACTTTCTGCTCGCTTACTGCCACTGCTGATCGCCACAGGAAAAGTTAGTACAGTAGGTGGGTTAACTCATAAAATGTCAACCAAAATTCTGAAATGCGTTTTCGTTTCGAAAACTAGTCGTAAAACTAGTCGGTCTGCAACATAATTCTATAATGTTTCAGCTACCTCAGGATGCCGGATTTCGAATGAACTTCCTTCCGGCCGCATGCATAAACTACACTCTGTGAAAATGACTACTTAAGTAACACGAACTTGTCTCATTGATTTTCGATGCCCCTAAAAATCCAATTATATTTCATGGAAAACATGCATAAAATTATTCATTATTTTGCCCATTTGGTGGATAATTACGTCTCCTTCCAATCTTCTACTCGATGGAAGGGCATAATTCGGTTTTTAAAAACTCTTCCAATTCCCGAATAACTTTGAACCCGCTCTACCGTTACACTCGGATCAAGGGTTTCGAGACTAGGAACAGTATATTTTCAACGTACAAAAAACCACACATTTCTCTTAGGTAATAAAGGGGACCATATAGGGTTCATAAAAATAAGCAGTGGATTTGATCCATATTGTTAACTTTACAAGCCACATTGGTAAATGCAGAGATATGACGATTTATGAACGACCCCTTCACAGTATTTAATAGTCCCACAACTAGAAACTTTTTTTAAAACCGAATTATATCCCTCCTTCGAGTCTAAAATGAGAAGAAGACGTAATTATCTACCGAATGAGCAAAAGAACGAATATTTTATGCACGTTTTCCATGAAATATAATTGGACTTTTAGGGGCATCGAAAACCAATGAGAAAGTGCATGCTACATAAGCAGTCATTTTTAACAAAGTGTAGTTTATGCATGCAGCCGGAATGAAGTTCATTTGAAAGCCGGCATCCTGAGGTAACTGAAATATTATGGAATTATGTTGCAGACTGACTATTTTTACGAGCCTACCTAATTAATCTTTTCGAAACGAAAATGCATTTGGGAATTTCGATTGACACTTCATGAGTTAGTCCACCTACTGTAAGTTTTACGGTGTGATTGTTAAGATGCCGTAGACATTCGGGTTGTTCTTTTCACTGCCCACACTGTCACGCTACCTTTACGTGGCAAACGTATCCATCACTATCTGCTCTTCTTATTACGTTGGTAACCACGTTGATGCGCTTCAGTTCCCATGCTCCAGAAGTACAGTGGAAGATTCTGCTGCGTTTTCTTGACGTTAGTTTCTGACTCGAGTAATTCACCGAAACGCTGCTGTCAATGTCGTTGACTACTTTTTTGTCCAAAAGACGCGCTCTTCTGAGACATGCAGACTGATTTTGCGTTACGGCATCTGCCTAAAGGCATCATTATAATGAATCTTCAGATAACCCTTGCCCATTTTGGTGAAAGGCCTGCTTTTATTAACCTGCCCCGTAATTAGATTTTATTGAGGATGACGTGACCCCCTAGTTCTACTCAAAATGAAGAAGTGATCAGTCATCGTGATCGTGGATCACAGCAATAAAAACCTTTTGCCCAAAACTCAGGTTATGATAACATATAAAGACAAGCGATATCGCAACTCGAGTATTTGTCATTGCCATTGCATATGTACAAACTCTGCTACCTCAATCGATTTATTGCATTATCGAGAGGGATATTTGAGGGGGGGTCTTCATATGTACCTGCTTAAACACGTGTGGTCGAACGGTTTCACCATGAAATACAGAAAAGTGGCAGGCAGGACACCAAGGTTTGCCTGTGGGATTTCAATAAATTGTCAATCATATAGTGCTTTAGTACTCTAAACCCCGAAATTTGTAAATACAGATACTTCAGATGGGAAACTGGAATAGCATTGACCGTTTTATTTTCTCCAACTTTTTAAATGCACTCTTTAATTCGTAATTAGACAGTAGCAAGTGTGAGGGTGTGCAGGCTTGATAATTACGAGATTAAGCAAGGCAAGCGGTATACTCAGATCCCCGACTTTTTAAGGACCTCCCATATTATTAATGACCTTGACCTTGCCTTCGATTTATCGAAACATTCAGGCCACCGCTGCCGCATGATGATCAGCTGGTCACTAAACAGGATCATCAGAGGGACTTGGAGTGTTCCCCTGAGGTGTGCGGAAACGTCCTCAGCGAAATGTTGGCCAGTCTGCTGGGCGAGAAGGACTTCTTAGCTACCCTGGCGTCGGCAGCATTCTCGCCAGAGAAAAATCCCGATTGTCTGGAGACGGTGATTGATGACCCCGTTCCCTTCTGGCGGCAGATTGGAGGGAACAGACAGGAACTAGACTTGTTCGGTGACAGTGAAGGTTGCAGGGAGCCACCAACTACCCCTGAGAAAGTGAAAGAGGAAGAAGTTCCAAGCGAACAGACTGCGGTCACTGAAGAGCTCAGTAAATCACTCTCTGAATACACACGGGCAGATATCAACCTAGAAGATTCAGAGTGGCAGGACTTGATGAGAAAATTTAAAAGGTGAGCTTGTTTCGAAACCGCAACAAGGAAAAATAACGGTTTCTCTTAACCCGTCTATGATATATGCTTTGTTTGGGATTTTTATATTACGAATAAGTGATTCAATTGTGTACAGTGAGTGACCGATCTCATGAAATGTTGGCTGAAATTCTGAAATACGTTTCCGATTGGGAAGGGTTACTTAGGCACGGTTGTAATAATAATTATCCTGCGACATAATCCTATATTATGTCGGACTCGGCAGGATGTCAGCTTTTGAATGCACTGCATTTTTATCCCTTGTAGCAACTGTACTTGGAAAGAAATGACTACCTATGTAGCATGCATTTTTCGCATTGATTTTCAATGGTCTTGAAAATTCAAATATGTTTTGTAGAAACCACCATCAAACATATTCTTTCTTTCACTCTTTTAATAGAAAACCACGTCATCTTCATATTTTATACTCAAAGAGGGAGTGAAATTAGGTTTTAAAAAAGTTTTCTAATTCCCGAAGGATTTGGAGCCTGATCAATCGTTGCATTAGCGCTTAGTGATTTCAGTCTACAAGGTGTATGCGCTCTGCGTAAAGAAAATCACATATTATTCTATGTCTTTAAAAAGATACCATAAAGAGTCCATAAAATTTTGCTATGGATACGGATCATGTTGAACATTTCATGAGGAGCAGTGGTAAACGGACAGGTACGAAGTTGTATGAATGGACATGGCAAGGGTTTTAAAAATCTCACAATTGGAAACTCTTTTAAAACCTAGTTATACTCCTTCTTCGAGTATAAAATATAAAGGTGACGTGGTTTTCTATCAAACTAGTGAAAGAAAGAATATGCTTGATGGCGGTTTCTATAAAATATATTTGAATTTTCAAGACCATTGGAAATCAGTGGGAAAAATGCATGCTACATAAGTAGTCATTCCTTTCCAAGTACAATTTCTATAAGGGAAAAAAGTGGCGCATTTAAAAGCTGACATCTTGCCGAGTCCGAAATAGTATATGATTATGTCGCAGGATAATCAATATTACAACCGCGCCTAGGTAATCATTCCTAGTCGAAAACGCATTTCAAAATTTTGGACAACATTTCACGAGATCGGTCACTCATTGTAGTTATTTGCCATACTGACAAGTACAGGTGCGACAGATAATTAGACAATTGTATATTACTGGCTGCCTGTCGATGGTTTGTGAATATTACGCGGTAATTCCGCAGTAGCTGATAGATTTCAGCTCAGATATTCACAACAACCCTCAGCCTGCGCCTGAAAAGGCCTGTTCCGAAAAATTTACTCCAAGTCCGCGCATTAATTTCCTCGGAAATTAAACAAAGCAACAAGTACTGCGGTCCGTTTTTGGACTGATACCCAGACGCAACAGTTTATCTAGTAACTATTCCCCAGATTTGTCAATAGCACATAATCACTAGAATATTTACTTTAATGTGAGAAGAAATGACGTAAGCTGGGCTGAGGAATTCATTGCAATATGGTATACGTTCAGAGCAAATCGTACTCGGAACGTCAATGTCTGTGATTGGGAATGTTTTCAACTTCCTGCTTGACTTTGTAGCACGTGACACTTACATTGGCTCTGGATATGTACACTAATTTCATTAGCATCTCACATAATATTCTCTGAAAGTTCGTATGTTATGGGTTTCTTCCTAAAATGCACGTCTTTAGTGCAATCTAATAGTCACAGGTTCATTTAGGTGCTTAACAAGGCTTGCAGAGCAGTTCACTAATATTTCGATTGGTTTTGGTCTTTAGTAGACCTGTTTTCCTAGGGCTTTCTTCCAGTGAAGTTATCTACCGTGTGTTCTGTAAGTCTCGGGAATAATCTTAAACGCAGACTTGGCTTTAATGCCTGTTAAAATTGTTTTAACAGCCCACGTTTCATGTAATTTCATGTATTACACTTCCTGACTTGGTAATGTCCAGAAGGAATCAGTTTGAACTGAGTTCCGAGCTGCGAAATCATTGTCCACAAACTTGACATTATATTTATCCGCTGCAACTGATATAGGTCAACATATTCGCATATACTCCGTCAAGAACCGGTATGCCCCATTCTGTGGCTCAAAGTTAGACTGGCCCCATAGCTCATTCGTTTTCTACTCCCTCTTTTCTAATTAAAAACTATATTTGAAACACTCAGTCGATACTTTATAAGTTCTTTAAGGCTACTGTTGACTATGCATTCAACTTGCCCTCCCCCAATTCCAGATAATATGTGCAAAATAAATGAAATCAGATAAGATGTGTCTTAATGATTATGACTCTCCTTGGTTCGCAGCCACTCATAATGATTCTGGACTCAGATGGACCCAGCATCCACAGTACAAGCTGTAACCAGCGAGGCTTTAGTCTTTTCACTTCCCGTTGTATAAGTCACAATGCGGTTTCTTGTTTAGCAATTTATAGGCTGTTTGGGAAAATGGCGTGTCTGTCTATTGAATGTCACCGTACTTCTACCAGAATCTTTAGGGCGCCCTGACGCCGAACTTCGTGAATGGGTCCCAAATGCATTTTGGCGCAATTTTTTGCCTTTACTCAGAATTCAATTTGCAAAATATGTTACAACTGGAGATTCCATGTTAAATCGAAAAAGCACAAGTCAGAGGGGGTGAAAAGAGCTCAGACAAATCTGCATAACCGCGAAGGAGTAATGTTTCCTTAAAATTGGCACGTTTTTTGCTTGCCAACTAGCCGTGTATTTCTCGCATGCTGCCAGCAAACATGTTTTCTCAAGGTTGTTACCAAAATCTGCAGACTTTTTTCTCAAAATCTCCTGCCTGCTGCTTGAACGTGCTTCTGTGTTAATTAGTTGTGCAGATTGCAGACTCCTTTGTGAGAGGATTCTGCGCGCAGTTATCTCCGACCTTTGCACGGAGGAGGTTCTCGGTGGATGCTTCGATGTCCCGGATTCTTCAGAAAGACCTAGCAGCGACTGATTCTTTGGACGCAAAGACTGGTCACGGAATTGTCCTTACGGTTTGTTTAGTTGACAGATTTATTTCCCGAGTGTTTTTTATGTATCATACGGAATCGTCCAATCTGGCCTCCAGTTCTCCTGACGGAGTCTTGCCACTAGGCCTTAATTGGGTGAGAGTGCGACAGATGCTGCTCAAGTCGGCTCTCACCATAAACTAATTCGTTCTCGAATCACCCTCCCTACACCCGTCATGCTGCAGGACACACGGCAGACATTCTCGTTCGCGATGGTCCAGATAGCATTTTTCGTTCAAGCTATCACTTCCACCTTTTATTTTACCCTTCGAGCACACATTCATTCGACCATGAGGGCCTAAATCTCTTACTCCGAGGAAGAGTCAAAGAAGGCAAATCGTTTCTTATCATCAGCTCAGATCTGGCAAAAGTCATCACACTAGTTATGCATAACTTGGTCTGCAGTGGGAATACATTCTAGTCGCGTTCGACAATAGCCAGTCTATGATGTGCATATTAATATGCTGAAGTAAAGTTCGAGGCTCGGGTGTTCCACACTTCGGGCTTGGGTATGGCTGGCTGACGACGGCTAATAAGCCAGAAATGGCCATTCCAGTCTCCCTTGTCTTTGTCGGTAATACTATTCTGCCTATATATCATGCGCCGCTGTGCGGCTGCTGGTTGGGCTCGAGAGAGAGCCCTTAAGGCACAACGGAACGAGTGAGTTCCGTATGAACGATCGGTCAGCGCCCCCTACCAAAGTCGCTTCACTTGAAAGCTAATTTAGAGGCAGAGATTTCTATTCTGAGGAGCTTTTGTTTATTTCTTTGAAATTCCGGACTTGCACTCCTTCCTAACATAAGGCCGTATCTGTTTTTGTTTCTGATGATGAGTTGGAGCAGGAATCCGAAACGTCAGGCGAATAAAGCTCTTGTCCTAGCGGTCGTGTCTCCTTCCTCATATGGCCACTTATTCTGAGCCTGCCAGCTAATGCAGGGGCCTGATTTCACCTAGGGTGGCGACTTATGGCCTGATATTCGAGTGCGCTGTCTACCTAAGGGGCAGTTGGTTTTTCAAACAGAATATTGTTACCGAAAAAGACGAGGGAGAGTGTCTGCCTGCCTGTACGGCTTCTGGGGGTGGGGAGGCTCCGAGAGAGGGTCCCCAAGACACAACGGAACGAATGAGTTCCTTAACAAGTTGGACGAGAACCCATCTACCGACTAGTTTTGCGTCTGTATTCAATAACTGCAACGGTCCACCAAGTAGAGGGTGTATCGACAACGCTGCGGGTTACGGCACCGATCCGGATTCGTTTCCGCCTTCATTCAGCCAATCGCAACCGTGATCAGCATTTGGGACCAGCAACATAAACAGGAACGCCAACACAGTGCAGATGGTTCACATACTACACCAGTGCTGCATAAATGGTAGGGGACGCTCACCGATCGTTCTTACGGAACTCACTCGTTGCGTTGTACCCTACGGGCTCTCTCTCGAACCCAAAAGGCAGCCGCACAGCGGCGCATGATATAGGCAGAATTTTATTACTGACAAAGACAGGGGAGTTCCGTAAAAACGATCGGTGGGCGTCCCTCCACCATTGTATATTCCCGATCAAAACCGAAAGGACGACAAGCCCGTAGCTCAGTGGTTAGAGGCGTTGGAACCCCAGGTATTCCACACTTCGGCGTTGGGCATGACTGGCTGACGACGGCTAATAAGCCAGAAATGGCCATCCCAGTCTTTGTCGGTAATAACATAGTGTTGCATCAATCTGTTCCTGTCTCCGTCGGTTGACCTTCTGCTTAATCTAGTTCGGAATGATTGGTTGTTACCTGTTCGGGACCTCAACTACCCATTGAGCAAAGCCAATGGGTCGATGCGTGCCAATCCCTGTATGAGTCCAGGAGGTGAATTCAAACATGCCCACGTTGGGCATCCAGTAGAACGCAAGTTGTGGTAATTTGGATCGACGTCTCACTTCTGCCTTGAACTTCCTTGTTTGCGCTGCTAGTTTACACTCGCCTGCCCTGCATAATTTCACGAACATTCATCCCACTCGTTGAAATAATTCACTCAGTTTGATTGAATAAGATTCTGCAGCGAAGCATGAAGTCAGGCCCTTGGACAACTCTCGGACCCAGGCCGGTCGTTAAGTCTGTGTCAGTAAAGGAGTAGTTTCCTTTTGGGTCTCATGCTCTGCGCTGCCTGGGCTGAATACGTTTTCGACTTAAAACTTTATTGCCTGAAAGCCGCGTGTTTATCTCCTCACTCTATTCGATTGGCTGAAAAACCGGTCTACTAAAATGCACTCGAAGATGCAGGTCTCCAGGTTTTCAAACATGATTTAATTGTTCGTTCTTTTCCTCCGATTTACTTATCGTGCACGGAAAAGCTTCAGGCGCCTTGTTTGTTTGCCAATTAGGCCGAGAGAAACTAAGGTGAACCGCTTCAGGTTTGTCCGTCGTTATCAGTCAGCCATAATAGACCGGAGATCGGGGAGCATGCAGTTCAAATCCGGACCACTTGGTCATCTGCTAGAACACTGTTTCCTTGCATCACGGAATCACGCGTGCGGCATCTTCTGTCTGTTTACTCGGAAGATATATTTTCCCAGTATTATGATAAGAAACTGCAAAAACTCTAATTTACCAGCAAAATAGGCAACCCAGTGTGTGTCCATTATAATGTTGGTCGTAAATAAAACACTTATTACAGCACCCAGGACTCTCGCGGTCTGGGGACACGCATCCGTAGAATAAGACACTTTCGTCGAAGGGAATTTATTTCATTTAACCCTTTGGGATATCTGCAAAAGTTTGAACAACACAACACAGGATTGCTTTTCTGTGGTTTTTTGCATGAATGGGATTGATTTCATGGATGCTCGCTTGTAAAACAGCTTTACGTTCCGCAACCAAAGCCAAAGCGACGTACAGACTAGGCTTTCTGGCATTTGTCCCCGAATGCGCTAGTCAACGTATCCTCGGTTTTTCGCTAATATTAACTTTTTATTTCTTTTCAGTCGTCCTTATCTCAGCGCTTCTCAATAGAAGTTCGTGTCGCAAACGACTTTTCTAATATGACGCACTGTACTCCAACCATTTTGTGGAGCCTCCAATTTGAATGTGTACCCTGTTTTATCTAAGTGTTTGCCGAACACGCATTTGATGATCAACAAACGTTGACCGAGAAATTATCATGTTGCAAGTCATTATTGAGATATTTGAATAAATTTGCTCTGATGCTTTCTTCCCTGCGTCTTTGGGACCATTTACGGACCCTGGAGAGTGTGCACTGCGAGTCTATGCGGCGCACGTTTTTGAAGTAATAGGATTTGCGTTCCGGCCTCTTGACGTACATCGCAGGAATGTATTGGGTTAACACTTGACTCATCAAAGCGTCCTGTACTTTTTTTGTGTAAATCAACATGTACACCTTTAAATACTTTCTTGACTCCGCGGTATCTTCTCGGTTGGAATTTGACGACTTTAACTTCGTAGATGGCATTATACATAACAATATCCTTTTGCGCAAAGGCCAGGCAATAGTTCCAATCGCACCTACTGTCAATAAATGTGTTCATACCCCATTCTTAAACTCTTTATCCTCTCACACAGATCAACTGGGTTTGATAAAGCAGAGAAATTCAAATTGTGCCTGCTGGCTCTAAGAGGACGCTCACGATGGACGCGTGGTTGTTTGATGTACCCGAACAAATTATACTTGAATATCGTATCGTTTGAAAAATATTCGCACAACTGGCGGGTCTAGTGATAAGAAGGAGATAATTAGTCGTCATCGTACTTAATGTTAGCAAAGCAGGGTCTCAAACGATGAATATTTGCAAAACCCACGAAACCTTGTAATTCTGAAACATTACGCCAAATAGGAGGGAGCGCTCAACGGTCTTTGTGAAACCAATTGAAGTTGGAAACAGGCGTTATACGCTAAAGATTACAGCTGCAACAGACAAATGCCGAAATTTAAACTGTAGAAGTTTAATAACCACGCCGACTCAAAGGTCAAGTCTAACTGTTGAGGCAGCACATCGTTTCTTTTTTGGGAAGGAGCTAGGTGAGACTTTTACACGTTTCGCCACTCTTTTCCCGTCATTAATCTATTTGGTATCGCTTTTATCGTTAGCACAGATAGACGCTGCAATTAATTGAGTCTGCGGAAGACACTAAGAAAACTCTCATCCCTGTCGTTAATTTGCTTCATTACACCAGTGAGGTGCCGAAACAGGCTGCACGCATTGAAAGATTCGAATTTGAGGGTATAAACAGGCGGATAACAGGTAATCTAAGATTGTTTATTGACCAAGGTCTGATTGGGTAGGTGGTATGCAGAAGGCAAAATTAACCCTAGCCTTAGACCCAACCCTTTCCCAAGACCAAAACTTTAACTGAACCCTAATCTTAGCTTTAACCCTAAATCTAATCGTCCTCTTAAACTTAACCAGAAACGTAACCATAATAAAACGTGCCTGCCAATGTCCAATGAGTGGGTATCACATGAGACTGAAAACATGGGCTTACATAATAACTCGTCATCTAGTTGGTGGACACACGCATAGTGCAGGTCTTTTAAGACGAATCTGCCATTTAACAAGTCCATCAAGTCCACGCATACAGCCAGTCGTCAGTTGCTTAGCTTACACAAATGGGGAGGGGCGGGAAATAGCACAAAAAGGACAATAGCAAGGCAGTCAAAAGACACGAGAGTAACCGGTAGTGAGAGGGTCTAACCGGTCGTACGTTCTTTGCGAGACGTGACCAAAACCCGAGTGAGGTGACACGACAGATCAGAACCGGATATTTTCTTCATTTTGTTCGGGCCGTGTCCCGAAATTGCTTGAAATCGTGCATTGTGTGTGATTTATGACAAGTGGAAGATCATGCACTTCAGCTATAGCAATATCTGCTGCAAAAAAGTACGTAAAGGCTTTTCCACACGTGTGACTACTCAGAGAGTCTGACCCACGAATTACTAAGGAAATAACCAGTCGGCGAAACAGGTGACTGACCTCTCAGCCAATGTCTGTGCTGTCCATATGGTAAAACCTCCGATGTATGGAAATAATTTAAGATGTCATGTCCGGCAAACATACGCTTCGATTATCCATCATCAGGCGTCTACAGTAACATTAGGGAGAGCAAAGTAACAAAAGTTAAAAAGCCAGTATGGGGAGAGGGTTGAGGGGCGTTCAGAGGTCAGGGGTCAGAGTCTAGTTCCGTCAGGGGCTTAGGGAGGAGGAGGGCGTCTGCCAACTAGCTGTCTCTATTTCCTCGCTGTAACGCGACATGGCGGGTGTGAAAACATGTGCTGAGTTTGTCTGCCCAGGGGATTCTTAGCGCTTGTACAAACGCTTTATGCGAACAGAAAACTGGGTCGACTAACTCTGTGGCCACTGCCTCTTTCATCGCAAGTATCCGCTGACCCAGGAGCTTGGAATGTCTCCCCGACACTTTATAGATGAATGGGAATGCTTGATTGCCGTCTAACAGGGGGCCGCTATCAACCAACTGAGCCACAGTTGCGCTAGAAATGGACTTTTCCACACCTTGATTTAGCCAGGCAGGATGGTGCTCTCGCATCCGCTTGAATAGGCGCCTTGCTGTTCGACCAATATAACGAGCCCACGGGAGAACGTGAAGGTGTAGATACACATTGAAGAGGCCTGAAAAGGCAGTCTGTCCTTGCCCTCAAGGCGAAGAAGCTGAGTGGTTGTGAAAACCAATCTTATCTTAGCGGTTGGGTACGTGCGCACGATAGCAGTGTTTAGGCGACGATGTAGAAGTTCGCTTGCCGGATTCCCTCGAAATGGTAGTGTGCGAAATAACTTCTTCTCAGCCGTCGACATACGAGATTTTGGAGGGCGCTCTTCCATATATTGGCCGATAAACTTGTCAGGATAGCCGTTTTCTATCAAAGTGTTTTGTATAATGGCGAGTTCACGCTCAAGCGTATCCGGAGTGCATATTCTCCTAGCTCGGCTGATGAGGCAGCGGACCAAGCTTCGTTTATGACTTAGCGAGACAAAACCGTAGAAATTTGCGTACTGCCCTGTCCATGTTTTCCTGCGTAATACACTTCTACTAATTGTTCTATCCAGCATTCGCTTGAGTGTGACATTCAGGAAGGGGAAGCACTCTCCGTTCTCTTTTTCCAAAGTGAAGGTTATGGATGGGTGAGCCTGATTTACTTCATATATGAGGGTGTTCGAATCAGTCTTTTCATTCGCTATTAAACAAATGTCGTCAACATATCGAGCATACGAATAAAGGTCCTTTATAACTGGACAGGGCTGGCTTTTCTCTGGTTTTCCCATGAAGACATCAATTAGTAGAGGCCCAAGTGGTGATCCCATCGCTATGCCGTCGAACTGGCGGTAAAATTGACCATCAAATCTGAACTGGACACTTAACGTGCAGCGAAAGAGCAATTCCCTTAGGTTTCCGACTGGCATTGCGATAATCTTTCTCAAATAATCTTTTCAGCCATATAACGCATTTTGATTAAAGGGGCGTCGATTCAGCAATGCTGATTAGCAAGTGTAATGCTGCTTATGGTATCTGCCAGCAGAAGAAATTAAAGGAATCCCATTCACCGCAAACATTCAGTGAACAACTTCTGCAATGCGCGTCGTATGGTTTCGAGCCAGGAGTTGAGATATCCGACAGTCATGATGTCCGATGACATCCGAGAACTAAAAATGCCTCGGCTTTGTTTATTACATTTGCCGGTATTTTAGAGCAGTTTTATTGTCAACTGTTGTAACAATAAGTAGTTCTTGCGGTAGGCATTCTTTGAGTGCATGAATAGATGGAATCTAAACCCTGAAAGGGTAGAGGAGAATTACCGTCTGAAAATGCAATCAGAATGCAATAAATACTCAACAGCTTGTTTACTAATCTCAGCCTATAAGAATGCTGCCTTGTGAACCTCACTTTTACGCATTCATAGCGCCAATTTTATATCTAGCTGTCCTAAGGATGCGTTGCGTAGCTGCATGGCCTGAGCATAAGCTGCCTGAAAATTTGCTGAGAACAGCAATTGCTGGTGTGGAGACGCTTCCAATAAGTATTGGATCAATCACTTTCGAGATATTCCAAAGCCCAAAGGACCATAGCATGACTGACCTGCGCTTACAGTGAAACCCGTCAATATTGCACCATGAATCGAACCGCATGCCGGCGCACGTAAGGTTAGATGCGTTATCTACTGCTTTTTAATTTCATCAGAGTGAAGGCTTCAGGAGAAGGCGTGCTTAGACTCGGTTCGCTAATCTATACGAATATTTGATCTGAAATCCATCAGTTAAAAGCCCATACACGTGTTTAGTACATGATCCAGTTGTTAGCACAAGTCGTTTTTTTTCCTCGATGTGTATGCTGCCTTCGAGCAGAGCAATGTCAGAGCTGTTCGTACGTACGAAAAGATTCGAGGGCCCGTCCTCTATCGACGGAGCGTCAACTATTTTGTTGGTGTTTCGCGACAGCAAAACAGTAATTTGTTTTCTGACTCTAAGGTCATTTACCTTAAGCTGGCCTGGCCATCAACTGTCTTTGCGCTCGGTCGGTATACTTGTGTTCACCATTGCATGTGAATTCATAAGTACGGTTTTAAGATGTGTGCAGGGCTGCGTTGCAAGACCCTTTCATGGGTTATCGTTAACGTGCCGCTGACTAATGCTTAAAGTTTTCAGATGATTCTTTTTGCAGATGGGAATGGCTTCTGAAACTTGTTTTAAAGTAACTGCTTTCGGCACTGTTTGTAACTCTTAAGAACGTATAAGGAGGATCGTAAAGATTTAAACTACGAATTACCCGACTCGTTAAAGCAGATTAACCATCTCTTGTCGACTCCGAGTTTTATGATACGCCCACTCTCATCAGTCGACCACAAATGACAGTTTCGGTTATTACTTTTACTGAATATAGCCAACCTACTAACACTGAATAAACTGGGTTTCTTTTCTAGAGCGCCATGAAGTTACCCACCATAAGGTCACACAAAGTTTATGTATTGTGCAGACTAGCAGCCTGCTTTCCGACCAGCAACCTTTAAACATCTTTATCAATCAAACGTATCTTTGCTGTTTTACCGGAAGCTTTCCTGCCTCTATGGTAATCGAGATATTAA